GCCCATCCCATGAAAAAGCAAACACAAAGTGGTCTCACCTGCTGCTGAACTCCCACCTTCTGCTTCCAACATCTCCCTGTCCCATTCGGGCTTACTACTGCAAAACTCCAGCAAAGAATCTATTGGAAAACACGCGAGAGCAGTCACCCTCCCATGGCTATCCTCACCAAGGCTGGCAGCAGGAAAGCAGCCCGTTCCATGAGAAGCATCACACAGTGGCTTTGGGAAGGAGTTTGGGAGTGTGAGCTCTGGAGGAGATGCCAAAAGGGAAGGGGCTGCCCTGCCTAGCCCCCAGAGACAGCCAGTTTGGGGGGTACCAGAAAAGTTTGAGGGTCTGCAGCTCTGTGCATGCTCCAGTTCCCTTCCTCCAGCCTGGGAAACTCAGCCCCTTCCCAACAAATCCCTTTTATAAACTGGTGCCTCCAGATCTATCCCACCTGGGCCAAAATCCAGAGAAGGGTTAACCCCTTGGTTGCTTGGCCCACACCAGCCCCTCATTCCCCACGCCGGAGGCACAATGCCACATGGTCTTCCCTCTCTCCCAGGCACCATGCTAAAAAAAGGGTGAAAAGACAGAAAAAGCTTCCAAAATAAACTCTGAGGTGGTGATCTCTCTGCCTTTCCATTGGTATCCCACATACACCCCCTGGGAAGTGCAATCACAGCTGCCCGAAGGGACTCTGGAGCTGGCAAAGACTCCCTGCCCCAAGTGGGAAGAATGGGAGAGGCTCTGCTGTGTTTGTGCTCTGGTTAGGGATGACTTCAGCGTTTAAAGGTCAGGCCGGGTCCGGGAGAGGGATTGCACAAAGCCTTCCGGGGCTGCTGTGTGCTTGCAGGGCTGGGGGACAACAGGAAAAGTCCAGAGCCCAAAGCAGAACCTCTTGGGAAGGAGCAGCAGGTTTTGAGGTGGATCTGGAGGAAGGATGGCTGGAAGCCACCGAGAGAGAGGCTCCCACTCTCACTCCAGAGCACACTGCCACGCTCCCAGCGCTGTTCATCGCCTCCTCCACGCTCTCCCGGAGAGCAGCGGCGACACGGAGGCTGAGCAAACACAATAACTCCGGCGAGGAGCGCAGGAGCCAGGCGGAAGGCTTTAATAATTCAGGGAGGACAAGGAGCATGGAGAAGTGGGTCAGCTCCCGCGGCGCAGGCTCTGGGCGGGGAGCAAGGCTGTTCCAGCCACTACAACTGTCCTTTGCCAGTGGACAGCGATGCCCTGGGGCTGCCTGTCCCCCTGACTTTGCCCACAGGGAGTTTTCCTTGGCTCCAAGCCCCCAGTGTGATTGCAATTCCAACGGCTGTGGGTGCTGGGGAGAGGGAGCAGCCCAAAAGATTGTGCACACACAGTGAAGCTCCTGCCCCGGCTGTGTGTCCAGCAGCGCTTCCCCCACCCCAGCTCTCCGAAGCTGTGTTTTCCAGCCTGCCTCTCGCCATCCCGCGGCGACTGCTGAGGGATTTAATTTCCCTGTCGGCACCCACACCCACTCAAGCAATGTGTTGGGTTAGGCCAGCTGAAAACAGCAGAAAAGAGCTCATCCAGCTCCTCCAGAGCCTGCCTGGGTGTTGTCCTGTGGATTGCCAGGATGCAGTTGTCCTGGTTTTAGCAGTCCAGGCTGACATGCTGTGGGATGGAAGCACATCCTGCCCTTCCACCCCGTGTGAGCCACGCGAAGGCTCCAGCCACACACCCCACGATTCCAGGGCATCCCGAGGGCAAAGGGCAGCTCTGGGCTGTGTGGGCAGAACCTGCCTGGCAACACAAGATTCATCCCTGTGGTCTGCCAAGATCGAGATGTGGCACAGGGTTAGGAGCAGGGAAAATTACTGCCTCCAGCTGGAGATGGGAGATGCCAGGGCTTTAGGGTGGCAGTGTCCCCAGGAGCAGGTGGGCATCACTGGGCTGGGGGAAGCAGTCCTGGGAAGTTCCACAGTGGCTCTGAACTCAGCCACATACTTGTCATTCCTGGAGTGTTTGCTGGGGCAGTGGGTAGCCTCACTGCAGTCTTGTGGGATAGGAGCTGGGACAGGAGCAGGAGAAACACCCAGAGACAGGACTGTGGTCATCATGCACCCAGCAGCAACTCATGGACCCCACTGAAACCCCTTCCCCTGTCTCAAAGGCACAGCCCCTGTCCCAGGGCACAGTGCCCTTTTCCACTCCCAGGAATTTGGGAAACTGAGGCACAGAGGAGAGAGACCTCACGCTTGCCCTCTGGCACATAGACCCAGCTGCGAGGCACGTGCTGGCAAACACGGCAGTGGTGATGCAGAGCTGAGAAAGGGCCAGATGATGGAGGCATCACCCGGCACACGGACAAGGAGCCCTTGTTGGGCTGGGATGTGCTCCAGCACCCAGTCTGAGCTGGGATGGGGAAGAGGGGAGAGGTGCCAGGAGCATCCCAGGCGGATTACAACCTCTCCCTATCCCACAGCTGCGGGAAGGTGCCACAGCTGCTATCAGCCCCCACATCCTGAGCGCTGAGGACGAGGACTCCCCAGCAGAGGAGGTGACCTACTCCATCCAGCCCCCAGCCAATGGGAAGGTTGTGCTGAGGTCTGCACCCAGCGCTGAGGTCCAGAGGTTCACCCAGGCCCAGATAAACAACGGCCTCGTCCTCTTCGTACACCAAGGTAGGGCAGGGCTGAGGTGCCCCAACCTTCTTGCATCACCCCAGGGTGATGAGGACACTGTGACACCAAGCTGGGTGTTAACCCCATCGCATAACACCCTGGTCCAAACCCTGCCAGGGTAATGGGGGGCTGCAGCCCCTCTGCCCCCCCATGAATGCCCAGGTCTGTGCTTTCCACAGGACTCCTGGATGGAGGCTTCGCCTTCGACCTGTGGGACGGTGAGAATCTGTCTCCTGGGCACTTCTTCCTCATCAGGGCCCAGAGAGAGCCCATCATCAGCCTGGCCAAGAAGCAGAGCCTCACTGTCTGCCCAGGTAGGTACCAGCACATTTCCCATTCTCCCAGTTCAACAGCAAATGGGGCCCTTGGACCACCTACCCATGTCCAAGTGCTGCTGAGATGCCCATGGCAGAGGCTGCAGGTGGGTGGTGAAGTGACCTGTTGAAATCCATACTGCACGTGGTTTCCAGGTGCTTTGCAGCCCATCACCAGCCAGAACCTGCAGGCAGTGAGCAACAGCCCTGCCAGCTCTACTGCTCTGTACTACAGCATCGAGCAAGCCCCACGTCTGGGCAGGCTGACCACCTCTCGGGGGGAGGAAATCAGGAACTTCACCCAAGCCCAGGTGAGATTTCACCTCCTCCAGCCCCTCAGGGCCCCAAGCACAGCCCTCCAACACCCCCCACCACAACCTGGGGGTCCAAAACAGGCAGGAGCACCCAGTCCTGGGGAGGAGGCAGACAAGGCTCCAACCATGCTGTGACTTTCCCAGCTCTGCCAACAGCTGCTAAAAGGGATTAAGAGCTGCCGCCCCAGCCTTGGATTTAGCACTGGGGGAGGCTGAGGGAGTTATAATCCTCTTTCCTAGGCCATCTCCCTGCTGCAGAGCCAGTCAGCGTGGCTGCTGCTGAAAGGAAGGGCCAGGCATGATGCTTTCACCCCTGCTCTGAGCAAACCCCTGTTCCCACCCTTGTCCCACAGAGCCAAGCTTTTGGAGACCATGGCAAAGGGCTTCTTTTTATCCATCACTTGAAAACATGCAGGTTTGCCCACCCTGGAAGCTCCCCTGTGCTGTGCTCATCCTTGGAGAAGCCTCATCTGACTCTTGGAGGATTTTGAGCAAGCTCAGCCTTTACACTGAGCCTCAGTTTTGCCAGTTTCTGGACAGAAACATCCTGGTAGAGAAGCACTGTGAGCTCTTGATGGTGGCTACCATGCCATGGCTAGTGATAATTCCTATTTCTTGCTTAATTAGAGCTTGTCTGCTCCATCCCAGAGCCAAGATAAGAGCTCATTGAGGGGGTATTTTAATTTTCAGGTGGACAGCCAGTTGATTTTCTACCAGCATGAGATGCCAGACAAGCCCTTCTGGCTGGCCCAAGATGCCATCCGCTTCCGTGTGGTCGCTCCCACAACCATCTCTGATTCCTTCATCCTCCTCGTGCTGATCTCCTTTGAGGCAAAATGTTCCCAACGCTCAACTCAGCTATGGAAAAATGCAGGTAAAGGTGGAATGGAGAAGTGTGGGACAAACCATCTTCAGGAGCAATTGATTGTTTGCCTGAAGAAGCCACCACTGTGGTTTTTTTCATGGTTACTATTATGTCAGACATCTAAAACTGCATCCAATTCCTTCCTCCCTCATCACACCAAACTCTCACTATCTTCCCTGAGTTTATTCTCATCCCTGGTTTTCCTTTTTTCTCCCCAGGTCTCCAGCTTGCAAGGGCTCAGCGGGCTGAGATTGACACCTCAGTGTTGGATGCCTCTAACCTCCTAAGCCAAATCCTGGTCCCTGACAGGGCTGGATATGATGTTGTCTTCCAGGTGATGGAGCTGCCAGTTCATGGGCAGCTCTTGGTGGCTGGTGTGCCCCTGGAGCGGTCACGGCCGTTTTTCCTGCAGTCAGACCTGGCAGCGAGGCGCCTGGAGTATTCCCACGGTGGGGACAGTGTCTCTGAAGACCATTTCAGTTTTAAGGCTTGGCTCCAACCCCAGGAACAGCAGTCTGTCCGTCCTCCACAGGAAGGGGTGGTCATCTCTGAAGCTTTCAATATAACAGTGCCCAGCAGCGTCGAGCCGCTGCGGGTGGTGAAGCGGCAAGAGGTGTTGCAGGTCCCACCAGGTTCCATGGTCACCTTATCCCAGGAGTTCCTGGATGTGGCAGACCCATCTGTGTCCCCACAGGAGATGGTTTACAGCGTCCTCCAGAGACCTCTCACCGGCCACCTGGCCACTGCACACAACCCACGGGAGCCCATCAGCCGCTTTACCCAGGCAGATGTCAACGCTGGCCGCGTGGTGTTTGTCTCCACAGGGGGCCGTGCCCCAGGGTCCTTAGCCCTGAGCCTCTCTGATGGCCACCACCCACCCACACTGACCTCACTGGAGATCAAGGTGCTCCCTGTAGTGAGCACCACTGCCAGCCCAGTGCTGCTGGAGGTGCCCCAAGACCTGAACAGGGCCCCCATGTCCCACCATCACCTCCTGGGCCCCCCACAGCGTGGGACAGGCAATATCCTGTACAGGATTACCAAGGACCCCAGGTTTGGCCAAGTGCAGGTCAACCAAAAGCCGTCGCGGAGCTTCTCGCAGAAGCAGCTGGACCGTGGGGAGGTGACGTTCACCTTCACCGACCTCACATCCCCCAAGGATGACTTCCAGTTCCTCGCCATGTCACGGGCAGGAAACAGGACTGGGGTGGTGAACGTGACTGTCCGTGCCACTGTGAAGGCTCGGCCAGGCAGCTTGTGGCCCCAGGGCACCACAGCCCTTCTGGACACCAAAATCCTCGACGCCAGTGAGGCGGCCATCCTCGACGCCAGTGAGCTGGCCAACTGCACCAAGAGCGTCCCAGTCTTCAAGGTCCGCAGGGTGCCCCGTGCCAGCCGTCTTGTGAGGGTATCCAAGGACCCAGGACAACCCACCACCCCAATCGAGACCTTCAGCCAGAGTGAGCTAGAGCAAGGACTGGTGGGGCTGGAGGTGCTGGATGCTGGGGACACCCACCAACCCCTGCAGAGTGACAGCTTCATCTTCGAGCTGGTGGCTGATGGTGTGCCACCGGCGCTGGCATCCCTGGAGTACCACATCGAGCCCTACAATGCCTCAAAATCCTACGGTGTCACCCTGCTCCAGGGCCCCCTGGCACCCTCACCCCTGACACCCCAGGGCACAGCAAGGAGCAGCCCCAATGCCAGTGAGCTGGGCATACACCCCACTCCCTGGCTGGCACCCAGTGCCACCAGCAGCCCTGTGGAGAGGGGCACCTTCCTCAGCTTCATCGAGGCCAACATGTTCAGCATCATCATCCCCATCTGCCTCATCCTGCTCCTGCTGGCCCTCATCCTGCCCCTGCTCTTCTACCTGCACAAGCGCAACAAGACGGGGAAGCACCACGTCCAGGGCACTCCTGCTTCCAAGGCCAAGAACGGGGCTGTGCCAGACCACGAGACCTTCCGGAGGACGGACCCCAACCAGGGCATCCCCCTAACGACTGTTAACGCCCTGGAGGGCAAGGGCACAGGTCCCCCACCCCAGGGCACAGGGCCTGGGGCACCGCCAGACCCTGAGCTCCTGCAGTACTGCCGGACTTCCAACCCCCCGCTGAAAAACAACCAGTACTGGGTGTGAAGGACTCAGGTGTGGGGGCACAAGACCACCTGGGGGTCCAGACCCTCTCACAGCACCACCAGCCACCTCCTCCCAGCTCTCCTCTTCCTCCCTGGGAGCTGGCATCCCACACATGCAGGAGGGCCCTGGGGATACAGGGGCTGCGGCTCTGGGCTAACTGGGAGGCCCAAATCTCCAGGTGGCTTTGGGCAGGGGAGGGGGACACTGCATAAGTAAGTGGGGGCAGGCAGAATGGCTGAGCATCCCTGGGGAACACTGATTTCTGGTGCTCATTTGGGCCACCTGATGGTGGCCACAGTGCTGGGGGGACCTGGTGGCACCAGTCCCCATGGAGCCACCCAGGCAGGTCCAGTGGTGACTCCTCCATGGACAGCACTGACCACCACAGCAGTGTTTGCCACAGCTCTTGGCGTGAGAGGGAGAATGAGGAGCTGCTTGCGCTGAGTCAGGCTGGGGATGTAGCTGCCCAAATCCCCCAGGGCTAGGCGGGCTGAGACACTGGAGCAGAGGCACGGAAAAAATTCTGTGGCCAATGCCAAGGGAATTTAGGAGTCCCCACCTACTTGGAAAAATACCCGCCTTGCTCTTTCTCTGTGTGCTTGCCGTGTGCTTCATCAAGCTGATTGCACAGAGCCTTGGGGGGGTTGCACAACAGGTGAGATGTCCTCGGTGGGGAGGGATGGCCAGAGCTCACCTGGGCAGCGTGAAACTAGAGAGGAGAGCGGAGAACCGGAGCCAGCGCGGTTTTCCACTGTATACTCCAGTACAGCAGATGTAAACAGAATAAAGTGCCTTTTCCGAGGTGCATCACTGTTTTCCTAAGCTGCCTCCCTTGCCAGGCCTGTTTTAAGCTGCTGAGCAACATTTGGAGGTAATGGACCAAATTCTGGGCTCTTGCTCAAATTTTCCCCAGCCTGGAGTCCTAAAAACTTAAATAGAAACTGTCTGAGGAAGGGCAGAGGAAAAACTGAGCGCTGAGCTCAGGATGGGACCCAACAATAATACCCTGTGCTGCTCCAGCTGGGAAGCTCATCACAGGGCACATCCTGCTCTCACACCACCAGTGGGAAGCCAACGTGAGTCCCCTGGGACCATGGGGGATGTTGTACACTTGCACCCCTCTCACCCAGGGTAAAATCCACCCCACAACCCCTCCCCAAACCAGCTCCCCATGTGATCCCACTCCGAGGCTGCAGCAGAGCTGGGATGTTTGCCTGGACCATGCCAGCAGTTTTCCTGGCTGGGTTTATGGTGCCAAACCTTTGCCAAGCAGTAAATCACATCTGCCCTGCTCCAGCTGGCAGGTGCTGGCCCATGGACATCCACAGCCTTCAGGGGTACAGGCAGGCACCCAGTGCCCCCCAGCCCCACAGGACAGGGCACAGCAGAGACAGTCCTGGCACCTTCTAGCCTGCTTGGCCCAAGGCAGGGGGCTAACAGATGCCTCCTCCCCACCTCCAAAACCCTCCTCCTGCCCCGTGCAGAGTGGGGGAAATGATGTTTCCTCCTTCTCAGAGGCAAGTAACAGCCTCTCTCCTCTGTAAAATGGGGCCAGTGTGACCCTGCTGCCCACGCCACGGCTCAGAGCTTTTCAGGGCGGTGCTGCGCCCCAAAGGTTGGGACAACCTCTGCCATCGTCTCCCTCTGCAGATCACAACTCTGCACCTTCCCCATCACATTCAAACACACACATTTATTACCTTCACTAATTACCTATCCCCAGTGAGGGATGGGGGTTGCAGGGAAGCCGGTGACATCCACCCATGGTGCCCTTGAATAAATCTGCTGCATTTTCCTTCCAGATGATTCTCGCCTTGTGCCCAGGGATTAAATAGAAGGAACGTGGCCTATTTTGTAAGGAGCGCTGAAAGTGAAGCAGGTTCTTTTTAAGGCTTGTGGTTGTATTCCCGCTGCTGGGAAACATCCACTTCCTGAGGTCAGGGGAGGACAGGCAGTAACCTGGAAAACAGCAGGCGGATGGTGGCTCTCCAGGGCCAAGCTCTGCTGGCAGAGTTTAAATCCTCAGCAAAGCTGGTGGCGCTGCTTGGGTTATTCAGGGTTTGCAGGATCAGACGCAGCCTTGGTGCTGCCCACTGCCACCCACCCACCTGGGGAAGGGCTGAGGGTCTGGATGGGCTCCTGCCCTGCCATGGAACAGACAAACCACAGCCCAAACAAGCTCAAAAGTTTCCTGGCCAGGCCTTTTGGTTTCCCCGGCACCTTTCCCTGATGAGCTGGCTATAAAGCTTGCAGAGGTTTAGGGAAGATCATGGAATGCTTTGGGTTAGAAGGAACTTTAAAGGTCATCCAGTTCCAACCCCCTGCCATGGGCAGGGACACCTTCCACTAGACCACGTTGCTCCAAGCCCCATCCAACCTGGCCTTGAACTCTTCCAGGGATGGGGCAGCCACAGCTTCTCTGGGCAACCTGTGCCCAGACGTCTCACCACCCTCACTGGGAAGAATTTCTTCTTAATATTCATTCTATCCCTAACCTCTCTCTGTAGCAGAGGTGCTCCAGCGCTCGAGTGTCTTGGGAAGAGGATCACAACTCCACAGTCATCTTACCTGTGGCAGGCTGGATCCAAAACCTCCCCCGGGGTAATGACACAACACCTCCCCTGGGTTAATGACACAGAGCAGGAGTGGAGGCTAAGGCTCCAGTGACGTGAACCAGTTTCCAGGCACCTATTCAAATGCAAACAAAGAATCCACCCAGGGCAGGTAGGATTTTTTGGCTTTGAAACCCTCCTGGCAAGCTTTAGCCGTGAAAATGCAGTTCAACAAATGAGGGACTTTATTCCCAGCCAGGCTTCAAGCCAGCACAGGAGACTGGGACCCACATAAGAATCGCGTCCCAGCCTCCAAAATCCCCAGCTGCTGTGAGCCACCACAGCTGCAGGACCCTGGGACACTGTTGTCCTTGGTGCCAGTGGGAACTGAGACATGGTGAACACATGAACCCCCTGAGCTCAGGCAGCAGCTCCACTCTCCTTTGGGGAGGCTTCTGCTTTCCTGTCCCAATCCCCAAACCTCCCTGGTAGCTCTCCCCAGCCCCAGAATTTTGGATTTCACTGGGAGTCATCACTGATGGCAGGTGATGAGGAGAGGTCTCCTGGGAGGGCAGGAGGATACCTATTCCTCCCAAGGCACAGGAAGAGTTGTCCTCCTAGGAGCTGCCCCATGTGAAAAACTCAGGCTGGCTGCTGCGTAGCGTGACGAGGCTCAGCACCTCTGCTCGGCTCCGAGCCAAGCCCAGCGCCCCAGGATACTGGGAGCCCTCCCTCTCTCCCTGCTACGTGCCTGCCTGATTCGGGCCGGCCTTGCCCACAGCCTGCAGAACAGGCTCAGCTGGCAGCAAGCCCGGCAGGACGGGATGGAGCCTGGGGGAAGAGCTGGCACGTCACCCTGGAAGCACCTCAAACAAACCACACAGGGACAGCGTTGTCCCCAGAACTTGGCATCTCTCCCACCACCTTGCCCACGTGAGATAAAGCACGTGGATTTGAGCTGCAGAGCCAGAGGAGCTTCCCAGGTGCTAGGGGAAGGACAGAGAGGTGAGGACCTGGACTCCAGAAAGCATCCCTCATGGAGCTGCTGCTAGCCGTGGCTCCCCAGCCCAGCTGCAATTTGAATTTCAGACAAATTGAGCCTGACCTCTGTTTCCACACCCAGCAACTCCGAGGCAGACAGACAATGACGGAGGGATAACCACATCCCAGAGCCTGGGCTCTCCACCCCTCCTGCACAAACAACACACCCAGAGATGCAAATCCCCAGCAGTGCCGGACCTACCTCCCCAGGCTCAGCAGCTTCCCGGGACTGGAGCGAGGGAATCCAGGCTAGCACGGACAGCTGGGGCAGGGTCTGACCTCAACATCCCACTGCTTCTGGCTTGAGGGGGAGACCAGCAGCAGGGGAATGAGAAGAGCTGGCACATCCCAATGAAAGGTGGTTCCCAGCTTGCTCCCTAGCACAGATGCTACTGATCCCCCATAATTGCCCTGGGCTGGGAGCAGGAGGGAACATTTATAGCCGCAGCCAAGGGAACCAGCTGGTGCTCATATCCTTGCCTGGAGGAGCCGACTCAGGGTCATGCTTCGGAAATATTTGAGAAGCACAGCAATTAAAAGATTGGAGCTGGCAGGATGAGCTGTCTCCCTCTGCCCTGATTCATTGCCACCCCATCCCCATGCCTTCCCACCTTCATGCACCTGGAATTGCTCTTCCACACAGCCACACACTCATCCACCTCCTGACACATTGGGGATGGCACTGAAATCCCACTAAGCTCCATCACCGGAGCTGCTGCTGGCCTCAAAGGGCAGGCAGGGCTGCTCCCTGCTCCCCTGGGACTGCTCCCTGCTCCCCGTTGGCAGCTGTGCCTCTCCAACACACTTGCCGACGTGTGCCGGCAGCGTGGCATGCTCGGCAAGCCTCATCCTGCCTGGCTGCCCCACCAGGAGCTGCACCCTGTGCTCCCCTTTGCCATGGAGAGGAGTTGGGTTGGGTCACTGCACTGCTCTGGTGGCTGATCCCAAATTATTGAACCCTGGTGGGGGTATCCATGGGGCTGACAAGCCTCCCATGAGCTGCTCCACTTGTCCAAACATCCCCATCCTCCATCTTCCAGCTGCTTGGCTTGTCCCTGTGAGACCCCAGCTGCTGCATCCAAGATTGGTTCTCCCATTCCAGAGCTTCTGGTCTTGGGATATATGGCAAGGATTGAATGGGGACTGTCCCTACAGCCTGCTGGCCTGGCCCACATACAAACCCTGGTCTTCCAGAACTCAAACCAAGGATGCCATACTTTCTTTCCACAGTGGAGAGTGGCTCAAAGGGAAGAAGCAAGACATGAGCTCCCAGAGGCAGTGACGGGCTCTCCGGTGCTGGCTGCAGTGCTCTCCAGGGAGGATGCTCCAGCCACTGCCACCTCCTGACCCGGCTGTCGTGCCAGCAGGACTCACACGGTGCCTTGGCCTTGGCTTTCCCACGCAGGAGCAGCCTTGGGAAGTGGGAGGAGGAAACGGATCTGCCCCATGTTCCTAGTGTTTCCTCTCAGCCCTGTATGCCCTGGGATTTTTTTCTCTTGTGGAAGCAGGGAGCAGCCCGTGCCACAGGTAATAAGGACAGTGACTGAAACTACAGAGGCACAGGGAGCACTGTATGCACCCCCAGACCCATGCCCACTGTCACCCTGGATGCCCATCCAGCAGCAGGAGCACCCAGGCAGCCACCAGGACGCTTGGAGGCAGTTCCATCCTCCAAACATTGGTTAGCAGGAGCACCCAGGCAGCCACCAGGATGCTTGGAGGCAGTTCCATCCCCCAAACATTGGTGCATCAGGGATGCAGGGGAGCAGCAAAGGATGTTCAAGTCCCCCATATAGCCATGGCAGACCTAAATTCCCACCCATCAGGGGAGCAGCAAAGGATGTTCAAGTCATGGCCACGGCAGACCTAAATTCCCACCCACGGGCAGGGAGGGCACAGCTGCCTGTTGCCAGGTGTGAGAGGGAAAAGGCAGGAATGTTAATGGGATGCAGGTTTTCCCAGCCAGTGGGTTTGCTGTGCCCTGGGAGAATGGTCCAGACATGGGGGTACACAGTGTGGTGGCTGGTGGGGCAGGGACACCTTTGTGGGTGCTAAAGGACCAAAGGGAGCACAGTGGGGAAACTGAGGCACAGGCTTTTCGACTCTGTCCTGTGCCTGTCCTCATGCCAGGACACCATAGCAGAGGATGAACTCTTGGGATGCTGGGATATCTCTCCACTCTAGCCACACACCCTGTCTCTGGGACATCTCAGGTACTGTGCTGCCATGGGGGACCTCAGGCAGGTTATCCCCTCACCCAACCAGGTCCGGGGGAGCTGGGATGCTGGCACAGCTCTGGAGTCTGCTTGCAGTGCCAGGGGCTGGCTGCCTGCCCGGGGAAGGCAGTGGCAGGCTCAGTCCCAGTGCCCATTGTGCTCCCAAGGGAGCAGGGCTGGGGGAAGGGACACAGCATCTGGCCTCAACGTGGGGGCAAGGTCAGCTGGAGCACGGCCAGCGGGGCTGGACACCGGTCACTCCTGCTGGGTTAGCACAGGGGTTAGACACCATTCCCATGGCTGCTGGGGCTGGGAATGGGGTAGGATGGGACCAGGATGGGATGGGGCCAAGGTAGGATGTGGCCTGAGTAGGATAGAGCTGCAGTAGGATTGGGTTGAGATGGGAAGGAGTTTGGATGGGATGGTGCCAAGGAAGGATGTGGCAGGGTAGGATGGAGCCAAGGTAGGAGTCGGTCAGGGTGGGATGAGGCTAGAATGGGATGGGAAAGGGGTGAGATGGACCCCGAGTGGATGGAAGCACAGCGAAGGCGACTGCCCCGGCTGCGGGATGCAGGAGGAAGCACGTCCTGCCCGGACAGAGACTCAGTGCTGCCTTGGGCTGTACCTCGTGGTGCTCGTCCCAGCCTGGGGAGGGCTCTGGGAGGATGGAGCACAGCCTGCTGCATTCCCAGCGTCGCTGTTAGTTTAACAATACCCCGCTGGCCTGCATGCCGGGGCTAATTTTAACCCTGGAGCCAGGCCAAGGCGGCCCTAACTTTCCTTGCTGTGATTTATCCCAGCCACTTCCCTTTGAAAACAAGGCCCCCGTGCCAGCCCCGCTGTCTCCCATGCAGCGGCACGCTGCCCCGGGCTCTAGGCAAAGCAGGGCGGGATTTGCCCCTCAGTGGGTTGTTTGGAGAGTAGGAGAGTGTCCAGTGTGGGATCACCTCATGGGTTGATCCCCCCATAGCATGGGGATGTTTGAAAGCTCAGGGATGCTTGGACGCAGAGCCTTCCCCAGGATCCTGGAGTGGCTGTTTCCCACAGACATCTCTGGGAAGGAGTTGGGTGTTTTTTCTACCAATGATTTTATTGAAAAGGCTGTAGGTTTTTTTTTCCCTTTTCTTCTTTTTTCTCCCTTTTCCCAGTCAGCAGCCATGCTTGAGAAAGAGATTTCCCTTCGCCTCTGTGCATCTAGTTAAAAACTGATCGGTAAAAATGCTGCAGAAAAATGGAAAATATTGAAAATATCTTGTGACAAACGAAAAAAAATCTCTTCCAAATAAAGATCCTCTTTTTCTCCTTTTTTTTCGTCAGAAAAGCTTTTAGTGTGCAAAATGTCGACCGCTTGGATTTCTTCTCCCAGCGGGCTGGGATGCACCCACCTCTGCTCCAGGAGAGTGGGTTTTCAGAAAGCTAAAAATCACTGGGCAGAGTCACTGGCACCGTTACTTCCACGTCTGTCCCTCTTGTGATCCCCCACACCTCCGCCAGACCGGTGGCAGGGCGGGAGGTCCCCAGGGAAAGAAAGAGGTGGCACGGCCAGCCCGTGGGTGAGCCCTTCCCCACAGGCTTGGGAAGGGGGAAGAAAGCCCAAAGTTATTTGGTCACTAGCGTGATGAGTTCCCGTTCGTTCTCAGCCTGTCGCAGACGGAGGAGGCTTGGAAGGCTGCGGACAGAGCGAGCGGAGGCGTTAGAGGTTGTCATACATGCGCAACGTCTTCTCCAGCTGCTGGCTGACGCGCTGGTAGAGAAGACGATCTGCTGCCTTAGGTAGGACTGCATCATCCTCTTGAAGTCGGCCACACGCCGCTCGTGGAAGTGGTTCATCTCGGCCTGCAGGGCGAAGCCCACCACGCGGCAGCGCTTGCGGATCCCATCCGCTTCCTCCTGGTCCATCCTGCCCTCATCGCTCATCCGCTGGCTCTCCTTCACCTTTGCGAAGGCGCCTGGAGGGGCAGGGAGCAGGGTGAGAGGCTGACGGAGCCGTGAAACCCTCCGGTCCCCTTCCCCTGGCACAAGCAGCCCTGGCTGGTCCCACCACCCTCCACGTCAGGGCACCAGCCTGGCCCCACAGCAGAGGCACAGAGCTGCCCAGGTGAGTAAGAGAGGGTTCTGCCTGCATCTCCCTGTGCCCATCACCAGGCAGGGAGAGACCAGGAGCCTTTTCCCTCTGGATTCTGACCTCCCCAGCTCCTTTAATATCCCATCCCTGGGCACTCAGCCTCATGTTTAGCTGGTTTGGGGGTCTGGGCTGCTGGAGAAGGGTGACCCAAGGCCTGGAGTGCAAAGCTAATGTGGGGCAGTGTTAGCACAGCTAAGCACTCCAGCCAAGCCTGCCCTCCACGTATTCCATGCCACCCCATGGATGAGGGTCAGGAGCAGCCCCTGGAGACCCCAGCTCAGCAGGCAGTGAACCAGGATTCGGGAAAGGTATGCGGTGTTGTCTGGAGCTCAGCTGGGAAAGCATCTTCCTCTCCCAGAAGCAGCTGATGCTCTGACACCAGTTTTTCCCTCTCCTTCCATGTTTTTTTACAGCTCGGTTTCGAAAGAATCCTGCCTGGCTCCAGCCCTGCATTCCTCCCCCTCATTAGCACAGAGGCTAAAAAACTAAAAACAGGATCTGGGCCACACTGGGCTTTTTTCCCTTCTCTCTGCTCCTTGCCGGGAGCAACAGACCCGGGGTTACAGTGCTCCCACTGCGCCAGCTCTGCTCCCAGCAGAGAGGAGGAGGAGGAGGAAGAAGCAAAGGTTGGAGGCCAAATCCTGCCTTCCGCTCTGCCCACGCGGCCTCGCTTCCGCACAGGATCCAGCCCCTCTCCATGGGTAAACAACGCTGGGAAGAAAGGCAAGGAAGCAGCCAGGGCAGGATCCCATCCTCCCTGCCCTCTCTGCCCTCCCAGCCTCCCCCATGGATGCAGAGGGATGCACGGACACCCCTGGATGCTCAGACATGAACAGCCCTGGATTCATCCTGGGCAAAACTCTTTGTCCGTCAAAACCCGAGGAGGCTGGCAATGGTGTCCTCTCCCTGCTGTGGGCTGCTGGGCTGGGAGGAGTGTGTGGACTTTGGCCCCACTCTCCCTCCCGGCACCTGGCTGTGTCACCCTGCTGCCAGGGTGAAAAGGGACACTGAGACCTGCCTGCCTGCCACCTGCTCCAGGAGGGGCACAGCAGACACTTCTCACTCTCTCTCCTCCTTCCTGAACCCCCCAAATCCCAGAAACCAGGACAAAGGGGATGCAGTGAGCCCTAATACTCCAGGGTTGCTAAACTCCTGCTCCTGGGCTTGGAGGCACAGGGACATACTCCTGAAAAGTGTGTCCCTGGTTGTCTCCAGGAGGTTCAGTGTGTCCCCTCCAGGATATGTCCTCATCCCACCTACCCTGCACAGCTCCCTTGGCCCCTCCAACCCACCCAAGGCCACATCTATCCCTGTCCCAGCCTTGGGAGAGCAAGCTCCAGCATCCCCACTGGTCACCAATCCACTGACTCAGCAGAGAGAGAGGATGCAGAGGGACAAGTGATGGTGGGTGGGGATGCTCATGAGGTACCAGGCAGATCATCCTGGAGCCAACAGCAGCAGTGCTGGCTCCTCCTCACGGTTTGAGGGGTGCAACACCCACGCTGACCCCACCAGCCTGCACTTCAGGCAGTGCCAGCAGCAGTAACGCAGCCCAGTGATGCACTGGGACAGATCCCAGACCCGACAGCCCCAGCAGCCTCAGCCTCTCCCAGGCTGGGGCCACTGGGGGCCTGCACCAGCTGGGACCACTCTGCCTCCCTGGGAGCCACAGGCAACGGTCCCCACCCTCATTCCCCATTCCCTTCATGGCCCAGCAGAGGATTTCCTCATTGCATCCCCATCCCACTCACATGCAGCCATTCCCAGGGGAGAAGAAGGCCTCCTTACCTTTCTGGAGGTGGATGATATCCGGGAAGTTGGAGAGGAGCCCTTGGTACAAGGAGAGAGTGTCCAGCATGAGGAACAGGTCATTCTTGGGCTGCTCAGCAAACATCTCCCCCACAGTCTCGTACGTCTTGCCCGTGTGGGAGATGGCATTGTTGAGGGCATCCAAGCTATAGGGAGGGTCCATGTGGAAGGAGTGGCTGATGGCTTGGAAGGCATTGCCCAGCTTCTGGAACTCCTTCCGGAAGCCTCCCACGTGCTTGCGCACCAGCTCCGAGGCCACATTGGTCAACTGCAGGACACTGTCGTCCATCTTCTTGCTGAAGGCCTTGAACGCATCCACACGGTCCTCCACGTCCTGCAGGTCCTGGTGCTCAGTAGGGATCTGGATGGTGAGGAGGAAGCTGGCGCCCACCATCTCATCCTTCTCCGCCCGGCGTTTGCCCAGCTTCCACTGCTTCTCATCGCGGCAGCAGAGGAAGTGCTGGAAGCCCTCGTACTGGGAGAGGACGGGGTGGCTGGTCATGTGGTCCATCCAGAGGATCAGCCGCCGCTTGCGCTTCTCGATGAAGTCCTCCTCGAAGCGGCCGGTGGCCTGTTTCTCGGGCAGGTGGGGCACCGAGATCACCGTGAACTTGTGCAGGAGGCGGTTGTAGAGCCAGTCGAAGTGCTTGTACCGCCGGTACACAGGCGAGTTGATGTTGCTGGGGGTCAGCTTGTAGGAGATGTAGCTCTTGATGCCCTTGAACTTGGTTTGCTTGGTGGGGTCCTCCACAGAGCAGATGAAGGGGTGGGGGTTTGCCCTCCACTGGGGACCTTTGGAGCCCATCTCGATGCAGTACGTCTCAGCGATCTTGGACATCAGGGGAACGTCGCCCAGGATGAAGGCTTCAACCCCGGAGCGCACGAAGCAGGAGAAGCGGTTGAGGTTCCTCCCCACCACGCTGCCCCTCTTGGAGGAGCTCATGCTGTGCTGGCTTGGGCCGGTAGCCAGCATGCTGGTGGTGGCCGTAGGCCGCCGGGTACTGTAGGCTGGGCGAGGGGTGCCCGTTGGTGCCCGGCGCGCTCCGGGGCTCCTCCACCACCGTGCACGCATCATCCCAGTCATCCCAATCATCATCGTCGTCATCCTCAAAACTGCCCTGGTAGGAGATGCCAGGGTTGGGGGATGCCGAGTAGAAGGAAGACTCGTGCCCAGGGGAGCCAACTGGGCTGTTGGAGTAGTCCGTGTAGTTGGAGCCCGCCCGGGAGCGGAGGATCTCGACATAGGAAGCAGGGAAGAGACCAGTCTCCCCACGGCTGTTTTGGCCCTGTAACCACCCGTCCAGAGAGTTCTCGCTGAAGATGACGAGCTCCTCGTTCTCCTGGATGCTGATCTCCTCTTTGTTTTCGCTCTGGAAGTTGTAAAGCGCTCTGGCTTTCAACGCCATGGCCGGACCAGGGCTGGGAAGGGGGGGGACGGCGAAACCCAACCCCCCCGGCCAAAACAACCTCCCCCGGCGATCCCGCGGGCTCGCTCGGCTCCGGGAGCACCACCACGCGCTGTGGGAAACGGCTTGGCCGGTTTCCCAGGGAAATAAAAAAAGAAAAAAAGCTGGAGAAGAAATCCCTTACGAGGTGACGCCAAGGTCCGTGTGTCCAAGTGACCCCCCCGATCCCGACGCCCCGGTTAAAAACAACATTCCCCGGTTAAAAACAACATTCCCTGGATAAAAACAAGATTCCCGGTCAGGCGAGGAGCACTTCCCTGGCTCCCCCGGGATGTG